AATGAGTCACTTAAACCTTGAGGCTGCTAAAAAGGAGTTTATAGCCAAGGTACAGAGATGGAGGCTATCTTAGTAAAAAATATTTTTTGACTGTGAGAGATTTTTATTCAATTTGTTGGTGTTTGGGGCTGGGGATGTGACCCAGGGGTGCTCTTCCACTAAGCTACAGCCCCAGCCCATATATCTATATCTATATCTATATATGTATATATATATATATATATATATATATACAGACATATACACATATATATGTATACACACAAACACACACACAGTTGTAGATGGACACAATACCTTTATTTTATGTATGTATTTTTTAATGCAATGCTGAGAATCAAATCCAGTGCCTCATCCATGCTAAGCAAGCATTCTACCACTGAACCACAATCCCAGTCTCACCAGCCCTTATTTTTTATTTTGAGACAGGGTCTGGTTAAGTTGCTGAGCCTCGCCTTGAACTTGGAATCCTCCTGCCTCAGCTTTCTGAGTAGCTGGAATCACAGTCAAGTGCCACTCCACCCAGCTGTAATAAAAATAGTTTTAAGACAAAATATTAATGCACTCTTAAAACATTGTTTTTTTTCACTTGACATTTTATCTGTCTGTGCCCGTTGTTATTACAAAAATCATAAATATCAAAATTCAGTACAATATCTGCACCAGTAGTTGCCTAAACAAAAGTTAATTTCTATAAAACCATTAACTTAATGCAGTTCTATTAAAAGAGATACAAAATTCCCTCAGTTAACAAGATATAAATAGTGGTATATATGTTTTAAAGCAGAAAAGCCCAAAACACCCAAGGAGAAAATGTTAAATATTTTGGTCTGACAGTTCCTACAAGTGGTAACTTCCAACCTATAAAGGAAATGTTCATGGTTAAAACTCTAGAGTGCAAGTAGAAAAATAGTCAATCAGAATTTACCCCAGGCTACATCATTAAGTGGCATTAAGTGGGGGCACCATGTATGGCCCCATGTCACCATGTTCTACATCTAAAGCCTTCCATGAAAGGAAAGTTGCAAAGTTTAAATGAGAAGTCAGGAAAAAAGACACTCTTTTTTTTTTATTTTTTAGCTGGGCATTGAATCCAGGGGTGCTTTACCACTGAGCCATGTCCCCAGTCTTTTTACTTTTTTTTATTTTGAGACAGGGTTTCCCTAAATTGCTGAGTCTGGCCTTGAACTTTTGATCCTTCCTGATTGGAACAGGTGTGCTTTTTTTGGCTCTTTTCTTTGCACAAATCACTACTAGGCATCTCTGTGAGGCTACTCCTTGTGCTGGGAAGCAGCCACGTCATCAGGAACTCTACAGAGAAGAGCAAACCAGCTTTTCAAAACTACACCCATGTGTAAAAGGCAAATAAGCACGCACCCCATTTATTGCCCCAGTTTATCGTGATTAGATATAACTCACAAAAAGAAAAATGGCAATTTCTAGTGACAATATTAAAACATATATAGACACTGGCATAAGGAAAAAAATATGCATTTTTTTGTGGTAGTGGGGATAGAACCCAAGGGAATACCACTGAGCCTCATCCCCAGTTCTTTTAGTTTTTTTTTTTTTTTGAGACAGGGTCTTGCTAAGCTGCTGAGGCTGGCCTTGAACTTGCCATCCTCCTGCCTCAGCCTCCTGAGCTGCTGGGATGACAGGCGTGCACCACAGCTCATGGCTTGTTCCCAGTTTTTCAAAGGAATTTTATATCCAGGAAGTAATGGTTTCACTGAGCATTATGTGAAAACCTCTCTTTTTCCCCCCAGAATAATATTCATGCCAAAACTGTGGGATGTGGAAAGTACTGTCCCTGCCTCACTCATGAACCCCTTCAGGGACTGCTGCACAGGGCTGGTACAATGACCCTCGAGAGGCAATGTGACCCTCGGGAGGCAGGTTGAAAGACTAGAGGAGACAGGGTGGGAACTTCATCCTCCAGAACCCACTAGAACAGGGCCTAGCACCATGTCCATTTCCTGGGCACCACCTCCTGAGGATTCTGGGAGAAACACACTCTTCAATGGGGCCAAGAAGGGTTCAAGCCTGCAGCTGTGACCCAGAGAGTGGTGCTCCTGGGGATGGGGAACAGGTGATGGCAGCTGCTCCACACAAGCCTGGCTGAGTGTGTGGCCAGGCTGTGAGCAGCAGGTGATCGAGAGGTGATGACATTAAGTAGTGTCCGACTCCCAGCTTCTGTGCTCCTCCCACTGAGCTCTTCTGGAGTCTTCTCCCCTCCCTGCATGGCCCAATGTGAGTGGAGCCTCCCTCTGTTCTGAGTGAAAACCTTCCCCCAGGAGCCTCCATTCCCGTCAGGATGTAAGTGTCTGCTGGAGCTTTCAGACAGAAACTCTAGCAGTGTCTCATGGCTCGGGATGACCAGTTTCCGGATGCCTACATGGTTTTCTCAACAGAAGTGCCATGTTCCCCGACATCAGAGCCCACTTGGCAGCTCCCTAAGGTGCTGAGGTAACCATGGAGAACCATGGAGACCAGGAGGAAGCTGCTCACTTCTCTACCTGCTCAGGGACTATGAGAAGACAGCCCCTCTGAGCAAAGGATCTCTACTGGCAACCATAATGCTGGACCGGGAGTCTCCTCAAGGTTGGCGAGGGTAAAGAAGGGTAGGGAAGGAGGGTGGAAGAAGAGGAAAGAAGGGAGGGAGGGAGGGGAGATAAGAGGGAATTAAAACCCGGTTTGAAGGCTACCGATCACAGGAATACTGGTTTTATATGTCAGCTTGACTAGGCTACAGGGTGTCCAGATATTTGATTAGTTCTGTGTGTCCACTGCAGGTGTTTCTGCATGAGATTAACATTGGAATAGGTAGAGTGACTCAGATGACCTTCCCTTATGTATTGGACACCATCCATTCCACTGAGGACCTGAAGCGAACAAGAAGGTTGAGAAAAGGTACATTTGCTCTCTGTCCCCCTGACTGCTGAGCTAGGGCTTCTCCTACCCTTGGATCAAATGTCACCACTGGCTTCCAGCTCACCAGCCATGGCTCCTGCTCCTCAGCTTCCACAGCTATGTTAACCAATCTCTTTTTACACCTCCTATTGACTCTGTTTCTCTACTCCTCAGAGACCTCTGAAGAATATGCCCTCTACCTGCTCTACAGCAGCTCCCAAGTTACTTTCTATCATAGGAGTTCATTGATTTTCTTTGTGGAGAGTTTCTCTACATGCAATGATACTTTTGGCTCATTGATGGTCCTATGTCCTACCCCAAAAAATATAAGGCCTTCCAAAGAGAGCAGGACTATCTTTCTTAATTAAAGCAGCATCTGGCATTAGGAATCACTCAAAAATTACTAATGGAAGCAAAATTAGAGAGATGAAGGAAATATAGCAGATATATTATGAAGCTGGGCACATTGGTGCAGACTTGTAATACCAGCTCCTCAGGAGGCTGAGGCAGGAGGATCACAATTTAGAGTCCAAACTCAGCAACTTAGAACCTTAAAAAGGGGTGGGGATGTAGGTCGGTGGTAGAGCATTCCTGTATTCAATCTTCAGTGCTGCAAAGAGAAAACAAAAAGATATCTATTATGAGTAACAAAGGAGGAATGTTTTCCCCAAATATCCCAGGACCTTCTTGAGAGCCTTCCATCCAAGATTCTGTCGCAGCCTGTCCAATGCTGCTCACAGGATGTCTTGCATCAACCCGGGGATACACAACCTCTCACATGGTCTCCAACCGAAGTGCTGCATTCCACATCCTGAAAAACGCTGCCTGTCACAGCCCACTACAAGAAAAGTTTTCCAAAAGTTCCAGAGAGGACGAGTCGGGGCCTGTAGAATGGCCCAGTGGGACAGGCTGAGGAGGACTCAGGAGGGGCTGGGGGAAGGGGAGCACCTTGACTCCAAAGAGACAAAGTGACTGTCCCTCCTCTGCAAGTTGCTGCCTCTCAGGAAGAGGGTCGGGGTTTGCGTTATACCAATGAAGGTTTTTCCAATGACTTACCAAAACAACAGCAGTGAATGCCCTGTGACCAGTTCTCATTTCTTTCCTTGATAACCATTTTTAAAAATTTATTTTTCAAGGTCCTAGGGATTGAACTCAGGGCACTTTAACACTGAGCTACATGCCCAACTCCACCTCCCTTTTTAAAGACAGGGTTGCTGAGGCTGGCCTCACTTGTGATCCTTCTTCCTCAGCCTCCTGAGGAACTGGGATTACAGGCATGCACTTTGTTCCACCTTAGCTGAACACGGTCTCCTAGTCTGCTTGGGCCACTATAACAGAACACCACACCCGGGGTGATTTATAAACAACACATTTATTTCACACAGTTCTGGGAGCCGGAATTGGGAGATGGGGGTGTCAGGATTGAGCTCCGATTCCTGGTTCATGGATGGCTGATTTCTGGCTGTGTCCTACCTGCTGAGGGAGTGAGGGGTTCTCTGGCATCTCTACTCTGAGGGCGATCAGGAGAGTCCCACCCTCACGATATACCAAGGGCTTCACCCGCCCTGGGGATAAGGAATCCACACAGGGAAGTGGGGGGAGGGACACAAAGGGTCTATTGCACATAGATTGATTTGTTCTCCATACAACATCCCAAGGCTGCTGAGGCCTATTATATGGAGAGAATTCTGCTTCTATGGAAGAGGCTCTGAACTGGAGGCCCTGCCTGGGCAGCTTCCTGGCCTTGGGGGGGAAGAGGTTGATCCTGGTCTCCCAAGCACAGCTCCATCCCAGAAAGAAGGGCTGGAGATGCATCTTGGCATCTACTGCAGAGACCACAGCTGGATCCTCCCCAGCCCTGCAGCCTGCACAGAGAGTGGGCCCTGCTCAGGAGCGACCCACCCAAGCTCCCCCGGGTTCTGGGCGCTGCGATGGGCGGGGCCAGCGGGCGCCCCAGTCCCCTTCACGGAGGAGGCTCTGTTCTGTTCAAGGAGGGTGGCCACTGCCTCCCTGTCTTAGGCGCTTTCCCCTCCCTCTCTGAGAGGCTCCTCCAGCTGGGTGTTGCCAAGGGACGCGCCCAAGCAGGGGGCTCAGTCGTCCTCGTCCTCGTCCTCGTCCTCCGCGTCCTTGTTGGGGGCGCATCTCTGGAAGCACTGCACGACGGTGACCAGGAAGAAGCTGGAGATGATGGCCGCGATGGAGACCGCCACGCCTGAGAAGATGATAATGAACAGGTCAGTGAGCGACAGGCTGAACTTGCACTCGCTGAAGCTGGCCTCCCACAGCTGCCGCAGCGGCACCCTGCAGTTCTCCAGGGACAGCGAGCACTGGATTTCATCCAGGCCTGTGGAGAGGCATGTGGCCTGAGGGTCAGCCTCAGCCCGGCCCAGCGGGAGTCACGCCCCACCGCAGACACAAGGAGACAGGAGCTGGCCGGAGCAGAACTGGGACTTCTCTAGATCTCAGAGTCACCATCTTAGGGAGAATCAGGACACGGGCTCTTCCCTGGGCTCCTAGAGGGTTAGGCGCCGTTTGGGTTTGGAGTTAGGGTGGCATGGGGGGCCCTACACTCCACTTAGGGCTGGGAACCTCTCTAGACCCAGTCACAGCCAGCCATGGAGGGGAGCAGGAGGTGGCAGCAGGTGCAGGGACTAAGAACAGGGCCCACCCAGTGGCAGGACCCTCCAGGCTGCAGGGCCATCGCCCCACTGGATGCCACTCTCCTCTCCATCATCCTCAGGGCAGACAGGAAGAAAGGCTTGCCACTGTGTAAAGCCTCACCACCCCGACACAGGAGAGGGAAGGAAGAGGAGGCAGCTGAAGGGGGCCTTCTGGTGGCATCTGGTACTTTTTTTTTTTTTTTTTGTACTGGGGACTGAACCCAAGATTGTCATCCACCACTGAGTTACAGGTTTCATAAGCTGCCCAGGCTGGCCTTGAACTTGGGATTCTCCTGCCTCAGCCTCCTCAGCGAATCACTGGGACAACAGGCATGTGCCAACACCCCCAGATGGAGTACTTGGTACTTGGAACTTGAGTGAAGCTTCCATGTGCTGAAGAGTCACCAGAAGATTGTGCTTGGATGCAGGCTCCCCAGGGATCCATCCAGAGGTCCCGGGGGCGGGGGGGGGGGGCTACTCTGTATTTTTTTTTTTTTTTTTTAGTACTGGGCATTGAAACTTGAGGTGCTTAGTCACTGAGGCACATCCCCAGCCCTTTTGTTTACATTTTACTGAGAGACAGGGCCTTGCTAAATTACTGAGGCTGGCTTTGAACTCCTGGTCCTCCTGCCTCAGACTTCTGAGCCGCTGGGATTTCAGAGAAGTACCACTGCGCCAGCCCACTCTGCATTTTCTAATAACTGGGGGATTCTGTTGTGGCCAGAGGCAACTTTGAGAAGCTTCACTATCCAAACATCCAAGGAAGGGGCCTGAGCCCACCCCTGATATGACCAGAGGAGGTCTCTTGCACTCTTCTTTCTGTATTGGGTTGACTGTAGGATTTTACTTGAGTGTTTGACTAATTTAAGAAGAAGCCTCAAATCCTCCAGTCTAGAAAAATGTTAACAACAGAGCCCATGCTGAGTAAGGGCTTGCTAATAATAACCACCACACCACCATCCCCACAAGGATCGCTCCATAGGACTCACCCAAGCTCTGTTCTGAGCATCTGACTTAGATGAACTCATTTAATCCTTACAACAACTCCATAGAAAGGCCTCGATATCGGCCCCACTTTTCAGATGGGGAATGGGCTCAGACAGGTGAAGTCACTACTCAAAGTTGGAAAGCTAGTAAATGGCGAGCCCAGATTTGAACCCAAGCAACCTGGCTCTGGAGCCAATATGCCTCCAAAAGGAAGAGAAAGGGAGAGAAACCAGGAAGAGAGAGCAGGGTGGGAACAAAAGACACCGAAACTTCCTCCCCATGGCTGCCATCAGATAGCCACCTGGTCATAGGAGACACAGTTTCCAGGGTAAATAGTTCATAACATTTTTAGAGAAACCTCTGATGACTCCCCCATTTTGGTGAGCTGTTTCTCTTGGGGTCCTCCTGTCTGCCATCAGTGAAGTAGGAGGCGGTCAGAGTGGCAGGCAGGTGAAGTCTGTCCCTACCCTCGACTTAGATGAGGAGGGCAAAAATGAAAAAGGGAAGGATGGCACTCATGGTTCTGCAGTGTCCCCATGGTCCTCAGAGACAAAAGGAAGATTGGGGTTTCAACCTTGGAGAGACGCAGCTTGAAAGGGCCTGTGGGTCTCACTGTATAAGGGGGAAGAGAGGACTGTTTTAAATGGGGGTTAAGAACTTGATATGGGATGCCCTTAAGGTGGGCCACCAAACAAGTAGTAAGAATGACCCGATAGAGTCCAGTCCATTTTGCAGAGAATTGAGAGGAGGCGGCGGGCTTTTGGGAGTGGTAAAAGAACCAGGTCACCAGGAGACAGAGTGGGAGAAAGAGAAGAGGCAGAATTGGCTTTGCCAGAACAACATACCTGTATTGCAAAAGAAGGATCCTAGTGTATGCAAGAAGGGGCCATAAAAGATGAGGAGCAAGGGGTAGTGGAGAATCAGAGGGTGGTGAGCTGAGCAGGGAGGTGGGCTGTCCATATAGAAGCTCAAAGGGGAGATGTTGAGTGGCTTCTTTGGGAGGGCCTGTGACAGAAGAAGAGCCAAGGAAGGATTTTAGTTCAGTCTAAATGTAATTCAAGGGACAGTAGACATTGAGAGGGGCTCCCTTTGCCAAAGTGAAGGCTCTGATGAGGGCAACAAGTTCAGCCTGCCAATACTGAGAGTGGAGGCTCTTACACAACCGAGGCTAGAGAGACTATTGCCTACCCTGCCTGATGAATTCCCTCCTGAAAGAAGAAGGAGCCATCTGTGAACCAAGACTCAGAGTGAACTTACGAAGGAGAAGGGATGGGAAGGTCAAGAATCTTGGTGCTGGGCCAAGATCTATTAACTTTTGTGTCTCAAGAGGAGAGTTGTCACTTCCATCTCTAGGGGGTAGACTTGTGAGGAGGAGGGGAGGAGAAGGGTAGAGTCACTTCCCCATGGGAGCCGGTGTGTGGATAAAGAAGAAGAGCCCTAGGTGAATGGAAGAAGGTGTGTGGTCATTGTCCTGGGCCCTCAGTCCAGGGTCAAAGGGGTGAGAAAAGCTGTTGGGGTCAAGTCTGCTCTGAAAAGAGAGGGACAGCATCAGCAAAGAGGGAGAGCAGGTGTTGTGATTGGGCAGAAAATGGAGGAGGTTTTGAGACAGATGTGAATTGGCTCGTGGTGTGAGGTGATAGAAAGACTGGAAATGTCCAACTCAGAAGCGGGTCATGGTAAGGCACTGGCCAACAGAATAGGGGATGGTCCTAAGGTAAGGGTGAGGGTCAGGGGAGCAGCAGGTGAGTCATAATGGAAGCATCTATTAGGGGAAAAGCACAGCATAGTCCCCAACTTTGTGAGGATGTCCCTTCCCATAAGGGGAACAGGACACTGTGGAATGAACAAAAAGGAATGAGTAAAAATTAGAGAGCCAGAAGCACAAACAAGGCTAGGTGTCTGTAAGGGTTGGTAGTCGGCCCCCAGAACACCTTGAGGACTGAATATGCAGCCCTGGTGTCTAGGAGGAAGGAAGGCCTACCTGACATATGCAGTGTTACCCTGAGTTTCCATGGAGTGATAGTAGTGGTTGGGTGATGGGGACCTGGATCTTTTCAATCCTCTGCAGCCAGTTCTAAGAGTTGGAAAGGGGAACACAAAGGGCCAGGTGGCTGGGGGGCCCCCATGTTCTTGGGAAATGTGAACAGCCCAGTGTCCCTCTTGATGACATTTAGGACAAAAATCCAGAAATTATGAGGCTTGGGACATGTACGAACCCAGTGACCCATCTGACCACATTTAAAACAGGGTCTGAGTGGTCCTGAGGGACCATTCCATGGGCCAGTGACACCAGGGACAAATGTTTTGAGCGAGCATCTGCTATCTCTGATTTCAGGCCTTCTCACCTCTCTCATTATACACCTTAAAGGTGACTTCCAGAACCTCAGCTTTGGGATTTAGAAGCCCCCTCTCAAAGCATCTGTCAGAAGGAGACAAAATTGCAATGTATGGAGGCCAGGGGAGAAATAAAGCATGTCCACATGCTTCTGCCCCTTTTGGTGCTTTATTCACTCAAATTACTCAATGCAATTTCACACTATAGGTTCTTTTATTTAACATTTATTTTTTAGATGTAGATGGACACAACACCATGCCTTTATTTTTATATGGTGCTGAGGATCGAACCCGTGTCCCGCCCATGCTAGGTGAGCGCTCTACCGCTGAGCCACAATCCCAGCCCTCTATATGTTCTTAATCAAGAAAATGACAATCCTTAATGCTAGGCACTGCAATAGACATAATCAATTCACAGAAAACAATTCTAGATTAACTAATTCACAGCAAACAATTCTAGATTAATTTTAAGCACTGCAAACACACTTAATCATGACAGGATAATAGCAGACCTTCCCTCTGCATGCTTATTTTTCTCAAGCCTGCTTGTGAGCCAATCCGCCCAAACACCCTTTACCTTGCAGGGGAAGCAAAGAATGCTTCTCCCTCCCTGTTCTCACGGGTACGTTTTGGGAGTCTCTGCTGTGTCTCTAACAACTCTCTTCCAATTTATTCTTTTCTTTTTTGTACTTATAAGGTTCTTGCTTAGCACCTGGATGACCATCTTAAATGACAGCTGCCATTTTAAGGAAAACATTTCACTTTCCTGCCCAAGGGAGTTACTGAGAAAGGCTCATCACTCCCTCATACCAACCAAATCCTTAACCACCTGCATTAGGGCCCACTGAGCTCTGATTCCTGAGCTTCCCCCATAAAAGTCCCAGAACTCAAGTCTGTTCTGCCTCTCTCTCCTATAGAGAGATGGCCTTCACTTGTCAAGTCTGAAAAATAAACTCATGTGTATCTCTGCCACGTCTCTGTCTTTCATTTATTGCTCATCTATCTTTCATTCCTTGCTTTCCCTTCACCCTCATCCCAGATATTTTTTTTTTTTTGAAAAGAATCTTTAAGGACATCAATTTTACATGCCAGTGCATACCAATTAAATGTAGAAAGTATCAATACAAATTAAAGAATGCATATCATTGTGTTCATATGGGCTCTGGTTCTCCTCTCAGATAGACAATTTTCTTCAAATTAAAACTCCCCCCCCCCAGTCACATCCATATTGGATTTACTTATTCATTTATTTGTTCACATACTTTTCTGGTTCTGGGGATGGAACTCAGGCCCTTCCACATGCTAGGCAAGTGCTCTACCACTGAGCTATGTCCTCAGGTCCTCAGTTAATTTTTATGAAGTTCACTCATTTCTGTAGAAAAGCATGGGTTCTGGGTTCCTAGATTGTACAGGTGAAATTGGCCAGTGTTCCAGAAGGGGATCTAGACTCTTTTGATGCAGATGCACAAAAGAATGTGCACCTTTCAGTAGCACTCCAGGGAGTGGAACCCAGTCCTCTTCTGACATGGCCAATTGTGACCTTACAGACATGGTCCTGTTTGTCATGACATCCTACAGTTGTGGGCTGTCTCACAGCACAGATGAACCTAGAGTCAAAAGATGAGGAGCTCAAAGAGCAGTCTGGGTGCTTTATTCCCAGGGCTGTGTGGGGACACATGCAGCTCACAGTACTTATACAATTCAAGGAGTCTGGACACACCAGAATATCTTCAAGTCCCTTTATGGTCATGAAAGCCCTTAAAACAACCAGTGATGACATATCTCATATTGCAGATTTCCTTGCCTTTTTTTGATCCTAGAATCCAGCAGCAAAGCAGAATGAATGCTGTTCAGAACTCCGCACCCCACCCACCACACATGCAATTTAGACATAGAACCAGAGGAAAGGAAGTGTCATAAAGGGGGTGAAGCACACAGATCACTGTGTGGGGGACAGATGGGCTGGCTGTGTAGAACCTGGACTCTGCTACCTGTTCCAAGAGTGAGCTGCAGTCTGCTTATAGATCCAACTGGGTTCTAGTTCACTGTGTATGGAGAAGCCTTCAGGCCCAACTTAGAACACGTACACAGGCACCTTTAGGATAACTCAAAAGAAGTTTGGGTGGACCTCCTTCTCCTCTTTGGATGGGAAGCTAAGGCTAAGGTCACTGCATAACCCCACCAGCCTGAGTCCTCAGCAGGAGTTGTCATTTAGGGAATCTTGTTCTAAAACCAGGCAGCACAGGCAGGGCCACCCATTTGCCCATAGCCACCTCATCCTTACTCATCCTCTCATCATCTGCTGATTGAAAACCTTGTGTCCCTGGGTAGAGAGAGCTGGGAAGTGTTAGGGGAAGATTTGCCAGTTATGAGCAGCCTTCTCCCCCACCAGAAGGTGGTAATTTATTCAGTTATTTTAGACACATTCAGAAGTGTTATCTACCTATATAATTCTACTATTTTGATGAAAGCTAATTTGGATGGTTTCATTGGCCATGACTACATTATTTCAGGAAAGACTTGGTAGCAGGATGACAGGCAAGGTTTTGTGAGGCCCAGAGACCCTATTTTATTCTCATTGCATCCAAAGACCAAGATGCCAAGTTTCTAGGTCTATGTGGAGACCCACAAGGATGGGTGTACCTTGAATGTCTGGGTGGCACTGAGGTCACCTAAGAAGGGTTTTTTGAAATTTTACTGTCCACTTAGAGTTCTCCAGGCCTCCTCTGTTCCCCTACATGGATTATGCCACAGTGTAGCCACAGATAATGACCTGATTTCAGTTTGATGCTTTGAGTTTCTGGGAATAAACCTCATTGATCAACAAGTACTTGGTGGTATTTCTCCATCAGCCCCTGGGGAATTCCAGTGTCAAAATCAGAAAACTGGGTAAAACCATCATGGAAGATGTCAGAGGACTAATCTTGAGATTCCATTCATTTCATACTATTTATTTATGGATTATCCATGAAACAAAATAGTTTCTTCATATGTGCATGAAGCCTAAATCGCATTCTAAAAATCCAGGCCCCTTGTAATGACTCTATACAGACACATATGGCTCTAAACAGAAGGTCCAATCTCCAGGGGCTTCCTTCCAATGTAGCCCCCAGCATCTGATTCCCTGCCCCATCCACACTTCAGGCAGTGTGTGAAGAGCTGGGCTCTGAGTTTCCTTCATGATCCCTCTACATCCTGGTTATACATCCAATTACTTAGAGGTCATATTTTTATACACACCCCAATAGGCAGCTGTTGGACAGAAACAGTGATTGAGGCCTTGGTTGTAGATGAACATATGGCTACATTGAGGACAGGGCACAGTATAGAAAATAAGGATATTTGGCTGCCTAAAGTCCTTCAATAGTGCTGTGAGCTCAGCACAGAGTTGGGAACATCTCTCTTGGTGGATGGCACCCTGGGCATCATAGCTCTCCAGAGGAGCAGGGTATAGCTCTCTGCTCAACTGGCTCAGCCCGGCAGTGTGACAGAGCAGGTCCCTGAGGACCGACATGGAGATGTGATTCCGGAAAAAACACAAGGTCCTGAGCTTAGAGCAGTGGCTCAGGGCAGGCAGGATGGCTTGGAGCTGGGAGTCCATGATCTCACAGGCTTCCAAGTCCAACCTGTTCAGGGTGGCTGCAACTGTCTCCAGAAGAATTTGGAGGGGCACCGGACTGAAATTGGTGAGTTTGATGTATCTCAGATCCAGGTGTCTTAGCTGGCTGGTGTTTGGGCATTGGGAGAGATAATTCCAGTCAGAATCTGAGAGCAGGCAGTTGGTTATTGAGAGGGCCTCCAGGGGGGTCTTCAGGTGCCTAAGGAGGAACCAGGAAGTTAGTTCTGAGGGAGAAAATGAATTGGCCCAAACCCAAGGTCACTGTGACCATCTGAACATGGTTGACATTTTGTAGAATCTGCTCATTCAGGTCACCCCATTTCAACCTGAAACTTTCACCACTACTTGTGTGACCAGGTGGGTCCTCCATCTCTATGAATGTCACCCTCAATGTCAAGCAGAAAGCCACATATCTAGCCTCAGGAAGTCAGGAAGAGTCATGTACCAAAGGCAAATCCAGGAAAGATGTGTCAAAGTACACTGGGGTTAACCCCTGCCAGGCTCACTCCCTGTCCCAACAGCAAGGTCTTACTCCCTGCTCTTCACTCACAACCCCTGAGTAATCACCTGGAGCTCAGACCTGCCTTTCCCAGGAAGGCATTAGAAGTGGGCTCCTCTGCTCCCAGAGGGAGGACACAGAGCTTCCTTGTTGAACAGGTACAGGTGTGGGGGCTTTCCTCCTTCAAAGTCCTCACCTTTACCCTGCTTTGTACCCCTGTTGCTGGACAGGGCTCCCAGGGAAGGAACCTCACTAGCTCCTGTCAGCATCAGCTGGCTTTCCAGCATGATGTCACTTCCCAGACCATAAACCCTGGTTTAGCCCGTTGCTCTAACACAGGTTAGGAGATGGAGCTTCAGGATACAACAGGAACAGATGATGGGTTATTTACCTTCCAGTGCCTTGTTCACCATTAGAGTGTCAGTGGCTGGCACACAGTAGGTCCCCTTTCATATTTACTGATACTGGTCTGCAGAGGATGCTCACCCCCCTTACTCACCTCAGCACATGCTCCAGGTGGCCCTTGAGGAAGAGGACAGCATCCACACAGAACTTCCACAGGTAGTCCATCCTGAGGAACTTCCAGGTGAGCTGGGATAGCAGCCACTCCTTCTCCTGTGAATAGGTGTGGGCAGGCATGTGGACCTGGGAGACAAGCAGCTTCCTCAGGTTCCTCATCTGGCCCAAGAAAGGAGCATATGCAGCCAAGGTCGAGGGCACTCAGGTGCAGTGCACTTCCAATTTCTGGACAGAGTCCAGCTGCAACAGTCTCAGGACGTTCCTGGTGTGGCTGGTGGGTTTTGCAAGGATCTTCAGCCTATTGCAACACAGGTGCAGCCTGTCCCTTCTCTGTGTGACCCATAGGAACAAGAGAGTCAGGAATTCATCCAGGGGCCCTTCTGTGAGGCACAAGTCTATGAATATCTTCAAGGGCATCTTAGCTGCCATTGCTGGACCAAGTTTCAATGTTCGATTCTTCTTAATGTCCTCTGGTGAGCAGGCATCGACCGTGGCTCCAGACCATGTCCTCCAGAAGTTCCGTGGAACCCTCCTCAAATCCAGGACCTGAAGTTTCCACCTCCTGAAGGGACCACAGCAGTGTCTCAGCCCTCAGGTCCCTTCCTTCACCTCTCAGCTGCTGCTCCCTGCTCCACCTCTTCCTTCTGTCTCACTTTACTCCATCCACTTCCCTCAAATCCAGCCTGGTGGCCCCACTTGTACAGACTGAGGCAGCGGTAGGTACAGCCTCATTCAGGGGTCAGCACAGCTACCACAAGCACCTCCATATCTGGAAGCCTTTCCCAGATGGGGCTCAGCAGGGCCACGGGTTCTCCACCCCTCCTTGCTGGCAGCACAGGAAGCCTGTGAAGCACACTTCACCACCCACTCTCCCTGCCTATACCCATCCCTTCCCTGGAATGGAGGGTGCTCCCTTCCAGGCCACCTGGGTCCCCCTCACCTCTGGCTATCCTGCTGGGCAAGCAGCATGTCCAGCCCATCTAGTGCCACTCGGAGCATCTCCAGTTGTGGCTTCCTCATCAGGGCCCCCAGGGGCAGGCAGGTGAAGGGCCATCTCTGCACCATTTTCTTCAGGACCAGAGTGTGTCCCCTGCTGAAGGCCTCCACAAAGAGTGGTAGGATGAGCTCTATGGGCAGGTCCTCCAGATCCAGGATGGCCCTGCACTTGTTGCTCAGCAGGCTGCACCCTGCCAGCTCCAGCAGCATGGGTGGGGACTGGATGCTCATCCTGGGGAGTCTGAAAGAAGAAGGATCCTGGAAAATGGTCCAGAGAAAAGGCCACTATCCCATCCATTGCCAGCCACTGGGAAGGGGGTAGTGGGGAGTCCAAAAACTCACCCCAACCTTAATTGGGGAAAGCCTTTGATTATTATTTTGTCCTTATACATTGTGAATTTGAGTGTCATGTGACTTAATGCAGTAGGCTCCTCAGTTTCAATAATATACAGTGGCTCAGAATGGAGTTGCCCTCACATGGGTGATGTTATTTTTAATTTAAAAAAATTAAATGGGCACTTATAAAGCATGTGCCCATATTATAAAACACTTGGAAATTGCAACATTGTCTCGTGGATATCTGTTACACATGTGAGATTCTGCCCCCTTAGGGGGGAATTCAAGAGAACAAACAGATCAGAAGAGAGTCTGTGAACTGTTGCATGAGATAGTTTGAAGCTTTTTGTTTATTTGTTCAAACAAATTATAAAATTACAAAACTACATAAACCTCAAAGTATAATTTTGGGGATGAGGCGATATTGGCGATTAAATTCAGGACACTCAACCAGTAAGTCACTGCCCCCAGCCATATTTTGTATTTTAGTTGGAGACTAGATCTCACTGATTTGTTTAGCACCTCTTGCTGCTGTGGTTGGCTTTGAACTCTAATTCTCTGGCCTCCTCAAACTCTGGAGGTGTAGGGATTACAGGTGTGTGCCACCACGCCCAGCAAAACAGTATAATTTTAAGGGCACGCAAAATAAATATTTATATTATCAGAAAATAGAATTCCAATCAATTAGAATGAAATAGGATTGCAATCCACTTCCTTGGTTAGGTAATTTTAAATTGGCTTTGCCTGGAGCTCAGTGGAAGAGCACTTTCCTAGGACATGTGAGGCACTGGGCTTGATCCTCAGCAGCAGGTAAAAATTATTAAATGTTGGGCTGGGGACATACCTCTGTTGATAGAGTGCTTGCCTCACATGCACAAGGCCCTGGTTCAATCACCATAAACCCAAATAAATAAATGGATAAATAAATTATATTCTCCACATAAACTTTAGAAAATCAACAATTTAGAAAAAGAAAAGGTGTGGGGCGTGCGTGCACAAGCCTGTAATCTCAGGGTCTCTGTGGTGAGCCGTACTAATAAACCGTGGCCGCCATTAGAAGATGGCGCTGGCTTCCACTGTGGCCTGTGATAAACAACTCCTTATATGGAGAGTTGGCGCGCAGTCCCTTACCACCCTATGAGAAAGGTCCACGTGGCGGCTTGGGATTGGGATGCGGGGAGCTTTATTAGGCTGTGCTTGAGTGTGTGCGGGGCGGGTGCTAGAAGATGATACATGAAACAAGGCCTGAATAAACTGCTGAAAGAAGAATCCTGTGTCGTGTTTTCCCTTGCCGGTGAGGGGTCGCGACAATTGGTGGCCCACACGGGGAACCGAATATTCCTCGAACCCAGGATCCAGAACTTTCAGCAGTCAGGGTGGTGCACCGGTAAGTTCCCAGGTAAGTGGGAATCTGCAAGCAAATAGCGGGACACTCCTCTGTAAGTAAAAAGAGAGCGGGGTTTCTGTACTTTCACTTTCTTTATAGCTTTAAAAACATTATGGGCGTTGCTTCTTCAAGCCCAATTTTGTTGGCCCTGGATGGGTTGCTACGTTCAAAAGGACTTAAGGTAAAGCAGAGAACTTTGCAAATGTTTTTGAGGGAAGCTGATACAGTGGCTCCTTGGTTTGCCTTTTCAGGGAGTCTTACGATTCCCAGCTGGGACAAATTAGGAAAGGATCTGGATTTCGCTCATGAGCAAGGTACCTTGCAGGGTGGCGTTATACCACTTTGGAAGTTAGTTAGAGGATGTATAACCGATATTAAATGCCAAGAAGCTGTGAGTGAGGGTCAGGCCGTTCTTGAACAACTACATGAGGAAAGATCTGAAGGGTCACATAGCGAAGTGGCAGAGAGTATTAAGAGTAAGAGTAGTGAAAAGACAAAAGAGCCTGAAAATAAAAATAGGAGAAGGCTCTATCCAGACTTGACCGCATTAAAAACACCTGAGGACACAAGCGGCTCAGAGGGTTCTGAGGACTTTGATATATTGTTACAACAACTACGTAAGATAAAAATGAAAAAGAAGAAAAAGGAGACACAAGGCACGCAAGCCTACTGTAAAAAGGGGGAGGGATCTAATATTGGTCAACAGAATTCTGAGGAGGAGGAGGTTGAAAGTTTAGAAGAAGATATGATGCCTGTTGCCCCACCCCCGTATGTGGGGGAGGGCCAAAGTTCCGGGAGATCTTTTCATACGCAAGTTTGGAGGACAGTCAATACAGATATGGGACTTGCGTACCCGGTGTTTCAGGACAATAACAGGGGAAGGTATCATGAGCCTTTAGACTTTAAGATAATTAAAACCTTGGATGAATCCGTCCGCACTTATGGCATAGATGCCGCTTTCACCCTTACTCAGGTGGAGGGGCTTACTAGATTTTGCATGACTCCCTCAGATTGGGCTAGTCTAGTCTGCGCTTGTGTTTCCCCAGGGAAATACTTGGATTGGAGAGAATTTATGTTAGAGGGTGCAGTAGAGCAAGCTGCCCAAAATCATGCAGCGGGACGCCCTGCCTGGGATAAGGATATGCTTTTGGGACAAGGCAGGTTTGCTAATCAACAAACAGGATACCCCCCTGAAGTATATGAACAGATTAATAACATTTGTATCCCTGCATGGAAATCACTCCCAAATAGAGGAGAAGTGTCTGGCAATCTGACTAAAATTATACAAGGCCCCACAGAACCTTTCTCAGACTTTGTTGCTAGGATGGTGGATTCCGCAGGAAAAATCTTTGGTGACCCCGATAGAGCAATGCCCTTGATTAAACAACTTGTTTTTGAACAATGTACTAAAGAATGTAAAGCAGCTATTACTCCTTATAAAAACAAAGGCATAGAGGCCTGGATGAAAGTCTGTAGAGAGATAGGTGGGCCATTAACTAATGCTGGTCTTGCTGCTGCTGTTCTTCAATTATCACGTAAATCCAGCCCTGTTGCAGGAAAGTGTTTTGGGTGCAGTCAAGGAGGACATTTTAAACGAGAATGTCCTAACAACAAGGGGACATCTAAAATTGGGTCCAACTCTGCTAGCCGTCAACCAGGCTTATGCCCTAGATGTAAAAAGGGAAAGCATTGGGCTAATGAGTGTAGGTCAGTCAGAAATATAGATGGTCAACTTTTACAAGATAGAAACATGTCAAAAAACGGCCGGAGGGGCCCCCGACCCCAGGGCCCGCAAATATATGGGGCAATGGAAAATGGGACAATGGAGAACGAGTCATGGCCGTCCCTGCGCCATCCCAAGAATCGCGGAGAGCCACTGCACGTGCCGCGGGACTGGACCTCTGTTCCACCACCAGACTCGTATTAACACCCAAAATGGGAGTCCAGCTGGTGGAGACTGAGTTTAAAGGACCTTTACCACCTGGCACTGTGGGTTTGTTAATTGGGCGTGCTTCCTCTGTCCTACAAGGCCTTCATGTTTTCCCTGGGATTATTAATCCGGACACGGTGGGAACAGTGAAGGTTATGGTGGAGGCTCCAAAAGGCATTGTGTCCATCTCCCCAGGAGACCGGATTGCTCAATTGCTAATTTTACCCAGTTTACATACCCGCTTTCCTGCTGATTCCTTTTTAAGGACAGGTGATGGGATTGGAACCACCGGAGGGAATTGTGTTTACTTGTCCTTAGATATGAATGACCGTCCTATTTTAAAGTTAACTATAGAAGGTAAATCAATTTTAGGATTACTGGATACTGGAGCAGATCGTAGTATAATTGCATTCAAGGACTGGTCAAAGGGGTGGTCGGTGCAACTCTCAGATCAATCACTAAGAGGTTTAGGATACGCTCAAGCTCCACAAGTCAGCTGTAGGCATTTATCATGGAAAGATTCTGAAGGTCATTCTGGCACTTTTCAACCATATGTGCTTGATCTCCCAATCTCCCTATGGGGACGTGATCTTATGAAGGACATGGGGTTTCAACTTAGTAATAATTACTCAGCAGTTGCTCAAAAGATAATGCAGGACATGGGATATAGACCAGGTCTTGGATTAGGAAAAAATTTGCAAGGACGTAAACATCCCTTAGAACCTCAGCAAAAACTTAATAGACATGGGCTGGGTTTTTCTTAGGGGCCACTGATGATCAGGTGCCCATTACCTGGAAATCAGGGGAGCCGGTATGGGTGCCTCAGTGGCCGTTCCCCTCTGAAAAATTGACTGTGGCTCATGCTTTAGTACAAGAACAATTAAAGTTAGGACATATAAAACCCTCCACTTCTCCATGGAATACACCTATATTTATTATTAAAAAAAAGTCTGGAAAGTGGCGATTATTACATGATCTAGGGGCCATTAATGCTCACATGCAGCTCATGGGACCCATTCAGAGAGGTTTGCCTTTACTTTCAACAATTCCTAAAAATTGGCCAGTAATAGGTATAGACATTAAAGATTGTTTCTTTTCCATTCCATTGCATCCTCAGGACACTGAACGTTTTGCTTTTACTCTGCCTTCATGTAATCATGAGGAGCCTGATCAGAGGTTTGAATGGGTAGTTTTGCCTCAAGGCATGGCTAACAGTCCTACAATGTGCCAAATGTTTGTGGGAGCGGCCATCGCCCCACTCAGACAAAAGTATCCATTGATAAAATGTATACATTATATGGATGATATATTGCTGGCAGCCAAAACTAAATGTATGTTGGAGGCAGCTTACACTGATTTGGTACATTTACTACAGTCAAAGGGCTTGATCATTTCACCTGATAAAGTACAGACAGGAGATTCTATTGATTATCTTGGTGCTACTGTCTCTTGTAAAACTATTACTCCCCAAAAAGTAACTATCAGGACTGATAATTTATATACATTAAATGATTTTCAGAAATTATTGGGTGACATAAATTGGATTAGGGGTTATTTACATATTCCCAATGTTGAATT